TAGGTGAAGTTTCCTCGCCCCGTGCGCTGTCTCCTCCCCAAGCTGGGGCAGTTGGAAGTCAGCACACAAGCGGCACCCAGTCTCCCCCTTCTGGCGCTCGCGGGGCGAGCGTCCCCGGGCGCGCACGCCCCGCGCTGCGGGAGGGAAGAGCGCGGGGCTCTCTCTGCCTCTCCCACGAAATGGGTAGCTGCCGGGCACCGACTCCGGCAGAGAAAGATTTGGGCACCACGTAAACAAGGAGCTCATTGTCAGAGACAGAGGTAGGAGTGGATGGACAGACTGTCCAATGATTCCATTATGCAGCGATTATCCCCCGCTATAACTCGGATTTCTGGAAGGAAGAACAACACAGGAGTTTCACCCCCAGGAAACCTCAGTTTCCTTAACTTTTTTTTTTTTCATAGCAGGAAACAAGGCTGATTAAATAACTAGGCAAACATCAATGAACAAGCAAAAGAGAACAAAAGTGTAATTCTTGAATGTTGAGATCGTATGATTTGAAAAAAGGGTTTGAGGGCTTGTGTAGTTGTAATGAGGATTGTGTTAGGATAACTTTATATCCCACATGCCTGGATATAAGAATTGACATTAACTTTCAAGAGAAAATAAAACAGTCACAGGTAAGGGGATCTGTGGAACAGCAGTGCCTGTTAGGACTCAGGATTCTCTTTTCCAACTCTCCTTAAGGGCTTGTTCAGATAATATTCACAGTTGGGGGACAATTTACTATGCAGGTTTGGGAATTATTTACTACAGGTTGGAAAATAGAAAAGTATAGTAAGAATAGTTAGCGTTTTCCTGAGATCTTACTATGTGCCAGACACTTTGCCGGGGACTCTACACAAAGTAATTTCAGTCCTCAAACGTGATTGTCTCAGATTCCTCAATTTTATGGAAGAGGACAGTTCCCTACTTAACAGTACAGCCCTGCATTGGAGCATTTTGCAAATGATGGAACGGAGTACCGAGAGGGTCACACAGCTGTTGGTAAGATCAGAGAGGTTAGAACCCAGCTCAAATCCCAGTCAGGTGTTCCTCACACCATGCCAAGAGGTTGGCAAGGCTGACTAAGCAACACACTCCTACCAGAGATTTCTTGATATCACATGGCAAAATTTAACAATGACTATGGTTCAGAATATAATGCTCATTTAGTGGCTGGAGGGTACTGGGCCTATTTATGAACAGATCGATTACAGATTTGGGGTTCATTACCAACTTTCAAAAAATGGTGACTAAACTAATGAACTCACACACACACACACACACACACAATTAGTCATACTTGTCCAATGCAATTACTAGAGTGCTGTTTCTATTTCCTAGTTTCCATAGCAGTATGTTATCTTGGTTTGTAGATTGCTTTATGTAGTTGCTTTAACAGGTTTTCTGAGTTTGTGTGCCATGATAACAATATAAAAGAAAAATATTACAATTAAAGTAGTGGACAGACCCAGAAAAGCTATTGCAAAGTGGAAAACAGAGTATAAATTCAAGTAATATGTTACATACTGTCAGAACTGAGCTTTACTAGTTCCTAATTACTGAAAAATTTCGATAGATTTTTAAAACAAGTAAAAAGTGCCATTTTGATTTATTAATCATACATAAGGAGATAACATTTTTATAAAAACAACATAACCAAGAACAGCATAACTGAAAGTATCTGTGTGTGTGAAAATCAAATAATTAGTTTTTAAACGCTGCCTAGCTAGGTTTGATCAGGAAGACGAGTACAAGTAATTACACAAGTTTGAACATGGATAGAAGCAGATACTTTATAAAGGCAATAGGAGCTCCACAATTCAGTTTTGGTTTTGTGGCAACGTCAATAGTTGCTGTTTAACTTTCCTTGGGCGCATGGCATGGTGACACGCTGTATGATGAAGTTCTGCTGGTATTTTCCTAACCAAAGCAACCCCCCGTGGTTGGCTAAGCAACACCTGTTCCCAAGCAATTATTCCCTTGCCTTCTTCCACTCTTGGGGCTGGAAATGCTTGTTTTCCCAGACTCCTTTGCAGCCAGACATGGCCATGGGATGTCATTCTGGCAATGAGGTGTCGCTGAAGGTGGTTGGGGACTTCAGTGAAAGAGTTTAGTTCCCTGATTAAAGGGATCTTAGGAGCTGGTGCCACACCTTCGCATTTCCTGCTTTCTTGATTTCATATATCATGCCCAGCAGAGAGCCATCTTGCAACTATGAAAAAAGAAGTTGGCTCTGACATTGCTGAGCTACGGCACCAATGATAGTAGACACCTGCTGATCAAGTATTTTATGGGAAAATACTTGTTCTAGACCCGTGGTCAGCAA